CAGTGGCTAATCAATAGCTACAAGCTAAAGTTTAACAAACCAGCTAAGAACTAAAGATTACCAAACCAAAGTATTTAAGCTAAACTTTAGCAAAATTGTAGCTAAAAGGTCAAATTTAGCAAACCAGTGGCTAATCAATAGCTACAAGCTAAAGTTTAACAAACCAGCTAACAGCAAAATTTTAGTAAACCAGTTAACAGTAACAAATTAGCAAGGCAAAGAATATAAGCTAAGATTTAGCAAAAATGTAGCCAAAAGCTAGAATTTAGCAAATGAGAGGCTAAAAGCTAAATTTATTAGAACCAGTAAGAAGCAAGATGAATTAAAACAAAAATTTATACAACAGAAGTAAAAAGTTAAATTTAGCAAATGAGCTGAAAGTTCAAACAAGCAAAACATCACCTAAAAGCTAGCATTAGCAAAACAGTGGCTAACGGTAACCTCCTACATTTAGAAAACAAAAGTTGTTTACAAACAACAAACAATCCGACATTCAGCAGAACTTCCTGACCCGAAGCTTTGGTTCTCGTCTCACCGGGCTCAGCTGGAAGACCGTCGGCACGGCGTCGCTCTCCAGGTACCGGACCCCCCAGCGGACCTTGAAGCACGAAGGAGAGAAATGTTCGTGGCAGACGTACTGGTGTCGAGACGGGGTCCAGTTCTCCCGCCCCATGTTCCTGAGCCACCGCTGCAGCCGGACCGGGTCCTGGAGCGGGAACCTAGAACACAGTTTGGATCACAGCAGAGAAGCCAGAACCCTGCAGCTACAAACTAAACTGTTCGGCTGATTTTCAGGGCACAGCATCAGACCTGATCCAGTTACAAACTTCAGAACCGGTCCAGGACACGTCTACACCACGACTCAGCATGTTGCAGCATGATATTATTTTACCGTACGGTTTAACTAACCAAAACTTTTTATCTTCAGCTTGTGATGCTGAAGGAAGCAAACTGAAAGATGACCAAAATATATTTATATTAAAAAAAAAACATTTTTGGACTCATTCTGCTGAATTCAGAACCGAGACAAAAGTTCTGGACGACCCGACATCGGAAGGTTTTAAGAAAACATCATTTTCTTTAACGGCTGTTTCTTTGCAACAAACTGCAGCTAACAAAGTAGCTAAAGGAGCCAAAGATCATTTAACACTACAGAACGCCGAACGAACTGAAACTGGGTCTGTGCAGCTAAAACGAGAAAATTAGCTAAAAAGGAGAAAAAGCTAAAAGTAACACAATGGTAGCTAAAAATTAAAAGTAGTCAAAGGCTAGCTAAAACTAACAAAGCTAGGTAAAAGGTTAAACTGTATAAGGCTGTTTAATAGCTATAGCAACAAAATGCTATCTAAAGGCTAAAAGTAATAAGAGGCTAGCTAAAAGTAGCTGAAAGCTATAAGTAGCAGAAGGCTACATAAAAGTTAAAAGTAGCAAAAAACTAGCTAACATTAGCACAAAGCTAGTTTGAAGCTAAAGTAGCAAAAGGCTTACATGTAGCAAAACATTACTGGATGCTAAAAGTAACAACAGGCTAGCTAAATGTAGCAGAGGTACTTGAAAGCTTAAAGTAGCAAAAAGCTAGCTACACAAGCACAACGTACTTAAAAGCTATTGTATAGCTACAAGTAAAAGGTTAGCTAAAATTAGCACAAAGCTAGTTTAAAGCTAATGTATCAAAAGGCTTGCTAAAATGTCGTGCAGCGTTATTGGAAGCTAAAACTAAAG